CCGCCGTGCTCTTCTGTTCCGGGATCCCAGGCCTGCCTCCCCCTACGGCATGACGTCGAGTGACCTGCAGGAGACAGGCCAAGCGCTGGCCCCTTCCAAAGGAACTGGGCAGAAATGCGTGTGCCTCTTTCCACGCAGTGCTGAGCTGGCTGGAGGGTTTCCACGCAGCCGTCTGCATCGCGTTTCAGCGGCTGAGCGAGCCGGACGGCATTCGCTTGCTTGGCTCTCATGTGTCCTGTCCCTGAAAACATGCTGGGGACACCGTGCCTTGGAAACCACAACCCACCTCTCCAACTGGCAGCACTGCCCTGGGATGGAGAGCCTTTCCTTTCAGCTATCTCACCCCCCTCGGCCCTTGTGTTTGGGGCTCTTTTAAGCTTGGCCCTTATTATTCTTTTTGGCACAGGAAGGATGGTGGATGGCCACGCAAGCACACCACAGGGGCAGGAAAGAGATTTCCGCCAGGCAAATCAGTGGCTTTTAAAATTACTAATAGCAAAATGACAACTACATGGAAAAGAACTTCGGCAAGAGGCTTTCACTGTGAGAGTCCCTGCTTCCCCCACGGCCCCAGTCAATCCCCTGGGGGAACTGCTCACAGGGGCTACTGCCCCCCAACTCGCACCTGAACGACGGCCTCTTCTGAGCAGCAGCTTGGCAGAGCATAGAACAAGGGGAGCTTAGGACAGAAAGTCGAGCCAGTGGAACTGCAAGGGGAAGCGTACCAGTCCCTGCCATGCAGCTATGTGAACTGTGATTGTCTGAGTTGGAACGTGGCCAGGACACCGAAGGTGCCACAAATTCATGTGCCACAAATTCATGAATGGGCTTGAGTGTTTGGGGCCTCAGCTTGCATCTAAAATGTGTCTGAAATGCTGGTGAGATGTTGCCACCAACCAGTGTGTCAGGACTGGACTCTCCTTCCCGGAGCCCTGGCAGGCTTGCTTTTTTTACTTAGTTTAACAAAGGGAAGGCTAAGGGCTGACTTACTTACAGAGTGTAAACCTCCCTGGGAACAAATATTTGACAAGAAGCTCTTCAGTCTAGCAGAGAAAATTCTAACAAGTCCACTGGCTGGAAACTGAAGCTAGTGAAATTCAGGCTGAGCAGAAAGCCTAAGTTGTTATGGAATCAAGATTGGATGTTTCTTCAGAGACGCATTGTCTTGGGGCGGGTCTCTGGCCTGTGTTTACATGAGGTCAGACTAGCAGTGGTCCCCTATACTGGATCTATGGGGCTCCTCAGCCAGATACCAGCCAGCACTACAGTCTGCCCTGGTGGACAGTCTGACCTAGATTAGAACTTACCACATGCCAGGAGCAGTGTCCGGCGTGCCAGGAGCAGTGTCCGGCGTGCCAGGAGCACGGCGTCTGTGTCCGCACGCCATGCTCTTGGTTAATAGTCCGACAGTTACTAATAGTTAATAGAGTGGCTTTGGCACATCACTGGCTCCGAGCGATCGCGACCCTGCACACATTCAAGTCTTGTTTTCAGTGGCTTGCCTCCAGCACCCAGCAGGTCGAGGCCGCAG